CTCCAAGAGGGAAGAATGCCTCCTTGCTGGAGGGCTTTCAGCACTGAGGGGACTTGCTAGCAGAACTAGCAGCTGTGGGTTTGACAGTGGCAGGGCTCTGGGAGGCCCTCTGGGCTCTGGCCAGTCCTCTTGGGCCCTGCTGGCCTAGAGATGTGTGAATTTACATGGGGTGGGTGCCTGGATGGAGAGAGAAAGGTGTGTGTGTGTGTGTGTGTGTGTGTGTGTGTGTAGATGGACAGAGAGATGTTGGGGGGTGGGGGCATGGAGGGAGGTATAGGGAGGTGTGTGTGTATGTGGGATGGTGGTGGTTAAAGGGGTGTGTGGATAACCAGGGTATCAAATGCAAAAAAACTGGGACAGGTTTTGGGGGAAATAGAAAACCAAAGAAAAAACTATAAGAAAAAACTCCAATATTGGAACTGTCCCTATGAAATTGGTCACCCTAGGTAAGGCAGAAGTGGGTGATAGATGAACGGACGGAGAGAGATGCGTGGGGATGGAGAGACAAAGGCCTGTATGTGTAAGGACAGATGGATAGATGGGGCAGTGGGACGGGGGATGGAAGGAGGAAGGGAGGGATATGTGGAGATGGATCGATAGAGGTGTATGGGGGTGGAGGGACAGGTGGATGGATACACAGAAAGGTGTGTGGTAGGGTAGATGGATGGATGGGAGTCTGTAGATGTGGGAATAGATGAATGGACAGATAAGAGAGATGTGTGGGAGAACGGATGGAGGAATAGACAGAGTTGTGGAGTAGATAGAGGCCTGTGGAGGAAGGAAGGATAGGTAAAGGTGTGGAAGGGGCGGATGGACAGACAGGGATGAGGGGAGGATGAAGGTGTGTGTGGGTAGATGGAAAGACAGATGGAGGAATGGGGGTAGATGTATATACAGACAGGGGTGTGTGGGGATGGATGGCCAGATACAGCGGTGTGTGAGGGTGGTGGATGAATGGAGGTTTGGTGGTGTGGACGGAGTGTGTGGAGGGGATGGATGGACAGATGGAGGGAGAGATAGGGAGTTGTGTGTGTGGGGTGGATTGATAGGTACATGGGGGATGGGAGATGGCTAGACATAGGGCTGTGTGTGTAAGGACGGGAGGATAAATAAGGCAGTGCAGTGGGAGACAGAGGGATAGGTGTGGTGGACAGAGGTGTGCGTGGGGGGGTGGAGGAATGGACAGAGGGAGAGGTGTTTGTGAGGGTGCATGGATGGATGAAGGGATAGACAGGTGGGGGAGGGATGGATCCTGATGTCCTGGTGGAAAGGGGAAGCCCCTTCTCAAATCGTGAGAGGCCAGAGACTACTGGCTTGACCCATTGCTCTCACCTCTGGGTGTTTTTCATCCTTCTGGTGTCTTCCTCCCCTCCTGCATTCCCTGACTGCCCCCTCCCCACGCACAGTGGTGGTGATGTGCATGCACTCGGTGCTTCTGGGTGGGGAGGAGCAGCGCCTCCTGCTGGAGAAGGCAGAGGACCTGCGCATGACAGATGGCACCTTTGTCTTCATCCCCTACGATGCGCTGAGCTACAGCTTGCCCTACCGCCGGACGCCCTACCCCGTGCTAGGCAACAATACCAAGCTGCGGCTGGCCTATGATGCTGTGCTCACAGTCACCATCGACGCCCCTGAGCAGAGCTTCCGTGAGGCTTTCCATGATGCCCAGCAGGCACATGAGCTGCCGGCTCACCTGGACCCTGCACAGGTCGGCTCCAGCTGCAGGACCCTGGTCTTGACCCTGGCAGGGGCAGAGAGATGAAGGGGTGGGGACTACGACCAATGGGGAACCAGGTGGTAAAACTGTGGTCAATGGGGAGGGGAGATGGAGGTGCCTGGCTGTGGCCAATGGGTAGGTGGCATGGAGGTGCTGAGCCATCGCCAATGGGTAGGTGGGATGGAGGTGCCAAGCCATCGCCAATGGGTAGGTGGCATGGAGGTGCTGAGCCATCGCCAATGGGTAGGTGGGATAGAGGTGCCAAGCCATCGCCAATGGGTAGGTGGGATGGAAGTGCCAAGCCATCGCCAATGGGGAGGAGGGATGGAAGTGCCCAGTTGCAACCAATGAGAAGAAAGAAATAAAGTGGTGGCCAATGAGTCAGCTGATATATTGATGTCACCAATGGGGATGCAGAAAGGAGTCGCATTGGCCACGGTGGGGTCAGCTGGCACCCAGCCACAGCCAATAAGGATACAACACTGGAGGCCAGCTAGAAGACGTGTGCCAAAATCCAACCCCTGCCCTGCTCCCCCTCTGCCCTCAGGTGCACCCACTCTTTGGCACCATCTACAACTCCATCTACTACCTGGCCAAGGCGGTGGAGCGCACGCGACAGGCTGGCCGCTGGGTGATGGGCTCCAGCATTGCTGAGCACACCCAGGACTTCCAGCTGGAAGGCTTCTGCCAGCGGCTGGCAGCTGACCACAAAATCCAACCCCTGCCCTGCTCCCCCTCTGCCCTCAGGTGCACCCACTCTTTGGCACCATCTACAACTCCATCTACTACCTGGCCAAGGCGGTGGAGCGCACGCGACAGGCTGGCCGCTGGGTGATGGGCTCCAGCATTGCTGAGCACACCCAGGACTTCCAGCTGGAAGGCTTCTGCCAGCGGCTGGCAGCTGACCAGAACGGTGACCCTGTGGTGAGCTACATCATCCTGGACACTGATGGCAAGGGGAACCGGCTTTTGCC